AAAATATCACTTTAAACAACTGGTACATTGTTTCCATGGTTACACTCCAAAGTAACAATTAATCCCAATTTTTCTTATGTTTTCGGTGTTGCAAGGTCCTAGGGATGTATTTGTGCCAGTCATGAATTTTATTGTTTTTCCTGAAGATAGTAGCATTAACCCAATCTAAGCAACATATTTTGCATGGTTACACTGTGTTACCATGGCAACCATGAAAGTTATTTCTAGAATAATATTGCCAATACCTAATTACTTGAGGTCAAATATTTTTATTGTTTTTTCTTCGGTTGTTGATTGAGTTTGATCATTTAACACCTATCATTAGTGAATATTGAGCGTTTTTCTGCATTTTTCAGCATCTAAAATGTATTCCAAATGTACCCATGGTTACCACTTACTTAGAGATAAATTCTAAAAAGTTTCTTTATAGCATAAGTGGCAACAAGGTGTCAGGTTTTTGTGAGAATGGTTTGTTTGTTTTTCTTAGTCTTTATTAAGGCTAAATAGAGATTCAAAGTAGCTGAAAATCTCAATTTTTCTAACTTTTCTGGTTGTTACCATGGCAACCAAGACACATAGCAACGAAATTTTATTTGATATATGTTTCTGGTGTCAAGTTGTAATAATGGGCAAAGTTTCATCAAAATCGATGACCATGCGTGGCAAAGAAGTTTAAGTGGTTACAGAGAATCGCTATTTAAAATTACTGTTAAAACACCATGGCGTTACCCTGACCGTCCTTGTATTTCTTTAATGATAATTAAATGATCGTTGAGAACTGCGAATTTGTATGTTTGTTTTTTGCAGTTATCTATCGAATAATTACTACACAAACTTTGTAAATTAATTAAGTTATGTATTTCAGACTTAGTATGGTGTCAATGCTGAATGAACGTATTTGAAATCTGCTTTGGGAAAATATCAATGATTTCTCAGTCATGATTCGTGGTTTTCTTAATTTTTTTTTCCAGTCTACATTGAAAGTAAATTAAAATATAGAAGCATGTGGGATTTTTTAAAATCAAGAATCAAGACAAATAAAATGATTTAACATCTAGACTTTATTAGTCTTCTTGAGCTACTTAGGAAAAAGTATGTACATTAAGAAACGTCTCTATATGAGTGAAAAATTCTCGAATGGGACGTAAAACAACATTCAATCAATCAATCAACGTACATCAAGAAAATGCGTATATTGATACGGTTAACCGGTTAATCGGTCGGAACGTCTTGCGGTTAATTCTGTATTCGATTGCCATCCCTAATATATATATATATATATATATATATATATATATATATATATATATATATATATATATATATATATATATATATATATATATATATATATATACCTTTCAGATTGATTGATTGATTGATATTGTAGTTTTACGTCCGTTACAAGATTATTTCACTTAGATGAGGAGTCACCGTATCTCAGCGAGGGGCTTCAAATTTAGAATTTTACTCGGCATTCAGCGACAGAGTCAGGACCATTGTGAACAGTGACGGATCTGTCTGCCATAGCAAGAGGGCCTCCGTCTCATCCACACCTTTCACATTAAAGCGCAGAGTGTTTAGCGAAGGAACAGTTGCTACCTATTTTTTTTTATCGACTGAGGTTTGTTGAGGCCTTTTACTTGAATCTACGACTTTCATGAAGCAAAATACATTGTTGTTGTCCTGATTTTAATTTAATGTTTCAACATTATAGAGATCTTAAATAAAATCTAAAGCTTAGTTTTTTAACTAATAGTCATAAAGTTTAAGCAACATGCAGAAATTTGAGAATTGCACATTTTGAAATCAAAATAAAATTCTGAAAACACTCTTTAATTGCTTTACGCATTAAAAGATAACTATTTTTAGTTAACTATAACTTGGACTATACTTTAACTTATTAGGAAAATCTCGAATACTTTTTTTTTATACAATTGAAGATTGATATTGTATCCTATCTTGGCAATAAGGTATTGGTATGCATGTTAATAACTTGGTCCTTAGTCTGTCTATATTCATTGACTTGTCTTTAACACCTCTATTCCCTGTAATAATCCTCAAATCAGAAGATCATTAGGGGTGGACAAAATCAGGAAGATGAATTGTCAGACCTGGGTTCCCTGTGTTGTTTTCACGGCCTGCACTTGACACTGTTTAGCCGAAACTATTTAGAAACATGACTAATGCGATATTAACCATCGGCCATCAAAGCTATCAATTTATCACCACTTGTAGTTGACTTTGTTCGTTCTTCTGTTCCCAATGTTGTTCTTACGGATCAAATTCCACGTCTTCACTGAAAATTAAGCCCCGGTAGACGGACAGATAATTAGTGTTTCTAATGTTCTTTTAAGGAAACATAATTGGTTTGATGTTAGCCATCTTTAGCCTTCTTCGACAAGACTTGCCCGGGCTAATGATTGGCTCGATCCCTGCAGTGATCCCCGTGTGTCAAGTGAACGGTTAGTACCGTGATCATTTTCAAATGAGAACTAATGACGATAAACAAAGCGGTCCCTATTTAAGATACTTAACGTAATTTAAAATCGATTGAGAAATCTTGACATCAGGACCGAAGTTGTACCTATTAAGAAATGGTTAGATTTGCACAGTCATTAATGTTTAAGGCACCTTGCATTATATGGGCACCACAGGCATATCCATATCAAAGTCAACGTGCTTATAATATTGCCAGGACTTCAGTGTTAGAGATAATAAAATGTTTAAACAACTTTTACAATTAAAGCACTCTACAAACATAATTCTAGGCCCTACACTCCCGTAAGACCACAAAATGTTTCTCCGATTCAACTTCAATTTTCTTTTTAGGCAAAATGTTAAATACTTTCTAGTTATACCACTAACAAACAATGTGTTTTCTTCTTTCATTAAGAAAGGATTAGTTAAGAAAAATAGACAAAGTCACATAGTTACATAAGAGAACAATGCAAAGTCATTATAATGTTAGATCTCATTTATTTCATTTTAACTCTTCTAAAAGTATATTTATAAACAGTTTAATGAAACCGCATGTTCTACATTTTTGGAAACATGAACAGCCGATAATATTAAAAAATACATTGTAATACACATTTTTACCTTATTATCCAAAGAATAAGGCCAAAAACAAAAGATTCTTTTTTCATATTTTCGGCGACTCCGGCAAGAAAATTGCAATGGTTTAATCACTTATCTGGTTTTGCATGCTTCAGAACCGATTTCAGAAACAAGAATACAATCTATCTGCTAAGTAAAAACACATTCTATCAGTTCTGCTTAAAATTCAGTCATAAACTAGCTCGCGTGCTGTGTCATCTAAAACAAAAAGCTTTTTAAATAATCAAATGAAAATTCATTGAAATATGAATGATATTAAAAAAAATGATTATTTTATTTTGATTTCTGCAAACTAAATAAATAAAAAATTATACTTGTTATTATGAATGAGTCATATTGTTCTTTTATATAGATTATAACAAATCTTGTCAAAAAATAATGTTAAAAGAAGTTCCATTACACCTTGACCTTTGATAAGGATGCTATTTTGATTAACGATAAGTGATCCTTAGGTCATTTGTGTTATCATATCATATAAAAATTATATAAAAACCTCTCTTTATAAAGTGTTGGTAAAAACACATATTTTGAACTTTGACATTCTTTTACCTGTCAAGTTGATAAGTAACTTCAACTTTAAGAGGATAGTGATATATCAAAATAATTGCTCTTTCTGTGAATTTTATTTGTTCGTCCCCATATCCTTTAAAATAAAATGTCAACTGTGGACTGTGACTTAAGTCTTCACGTTTTGATGGTAGGTGTTACTCCTTCCATGTTTATATAATTCTGTAGGGATCATTGCGTTTTTTTTTTTTACAGGGGATTCCATCATATTCGTATCAACCAAAGAAAAAATATTTTCTGAAACTTTATATATTTGTTTGTTCCATCTTAATTCAACAAAAATTACCTATTATTATGAGAAATTTTCTAACAAATTTCCTTGGATTTTTTCAGAAAAGATTAGACTTGACGTGTGTGTTTTCTTCTGTAAAAAATGAGACAACAAGTAACTATTTCTAGTTTTTTCCATGGAAAAGCAACAATTTCATTACATATTTGAAAATAATAATAATAAAAATATCATTAATTGATGAAAAAAGAAATTTTATTATTTTCACCTTCATTTTCATGTAATCTATTTATCGACCATTGAAGTCTATTCTAAAATTTTATCGTTAAAATCTACTTCACTGATGTGGTTTAAATGAGAACGTACAAATACTCTACATTAAAATTATCCTTTAATTGGTAGGAATTAGTTCGTGATATGTGTAGCATGGTGTTTATATTTCATTCATGCGAAATTTATCACCGGCTTCCTTTACAAGGTACTAGTCGGTGCATTCTGGGGTATAAAAATCGTAGGCAACATTAGGCATCCTAGCTGGATAAGATTACACATTAAGCTATAATATATGGTCTGTGAGATTACCCTCAAAAAGCTATTATGAACAAAATGAATGTATTGAGGTTATTTGTATTCTTTTTAATGTCAGGTATTTAAAAGCATAATTTTACCAATAAATTATCAAGCAATTAAAATTAAATGAAAATGTCAAAAGCATGCGTGTCTGTATACAATTAATATCATGGGACTTTAACAATGGTCGACTTTTAAAATTCTCCAAACTTTCATATTAACTGCAGAGGGAGGAGATATTTTGACTATTAATATCCTGCCGTTTAGTCAAATCATCTAAACCGCATGAGACGACAGGGTAAAGGGATTTTGTCATTCGTCAGTGACCCAAGGCAGAGGGCTTGACAAAGTGTAATAATTAATACCCGTCAATTTGTATTGGTATTTTCTACCAATAATTTCGATTTCCTGTTACTTGTGATGTATTAGAGTATTTTTATGAACTAACAAGGGATATGTGTCTTAAGAATGATGAAAACAATGTGATAGCATGTCATTCATTTCGCTGATATCACGGAGATTTTGGATATAGTTTTACCCTGTTTGCACAGAACAGAGAATGTTGACTTCTAAATCTACCGAGTTTTCTATAGATTCACTCCTTGGCATCAAAGACAAGAAACGTTATTCCGAAGAAAAAGGAAAGTTTGCAAACAATGATACTGAGAGGCAGATAAAAGGTGCAGACAAAACGTTGAATGAAAGGAATCAAGACTCATACAAAATCTACCATGAAAGTATTTTGTACCCTGTTTCTAAGCCTGCAATAGTGGACAATTTGTGTTTTTCGGATAAGAAAGCAGTTGAAAATGACATAAGTTCAGGTAATTTAATTTTTGATCGTCACAGGGATTTACTTTTGCAAAGACAGAGTGAATATTTAGGACAGATTGCTGTTAGACACTGGATGCCTCATCGCCTTCAGGGTCAAGTGTCCTCGTGGCCTTATCCTCCTCCCCACCATGGAACATTCACACGGTGTATAGGTAAGGTTTTTTTCTTTCTGGGTTAAATCTAATAGAAATATGAATAATTGGAATTAAAAAAAAGAGAGGATAAATTGCACTTTTTTGGGCTTAATTTCAGTATTTCTTTTCCACTTACATTTTTCCATGTTGAATAATATATAAGCAAAGAGAAGTGGTTTTGAAAACAAACAAATCTAAGGTTTGCATATTTTAAAAAAATTATTTAATCAAATATTTATGAGAGATACTTTGTCATGTTTATCAATACAGAACAATTGTGAGGTTACTTTCTGCCACTCTATGCTTGGTAATTTATAATAATCTCAAAATCGCAGGTATTCCCCAATGTTATTTGCTCTAACAACACATTGAAATACCGGATATGACAACGTTTTCAGTCAGTAAACCGATCAATAAAAATCAGAAGGAATTATGGATAGCAATTGCTCTTGCAATTGCACATTAATATTCTTTTATATTGAAGAAAAAAGGTGGCCCATAGAAATAGAGCTTCCATTAATATTTTACATTGAACAAAAATTCATAATTAAATCAAATATTTTTAGGAATTTTCTTTTAAATTAATAAACAGAATATATAGGAAATTTATAATTTATTTTCAAAAGAAAGATGCTCGCAAAAAAATTCAAATATTAAAATTGAGGACAAATGATACGGAATATAAAGAGATAATTAAGGGGAATCGAACATCAAAGAGTTTTAGATATATTCTAATATACACATTTTTTTTCTTTTTCATTGGAAATAGTATGGATTTCCAATTCTTATTTTCAAAATATGAATTCTTTTCAATTAGATCCGTCTTTTTTGATACCAAATTTGCGGAAATCTAAGCGGATTCGGACAGCTTTCTCTCCGACACAGCTTTTGCAGTTAGAACACGCCTTTGAGAAAAACCACTACGTTGTAGGACAAGAAAGAAAAGAACTTGCTCGTAATCTGAGACTCAGTGAAACACAGGTAAATTAAGAATTTGATGATGAAATAAAAATTTTGATTCAATATGGACTCTCTCTCTCTCATTATATATATATATATATATATATATATATATATATATATATATATATATATATATATATATATATATATATATATATATATATATATATATAAAGTGTAAGTATATTTATTGAAAAATTATAGGTTTTTTGGACATTATTAATAAAGTAGAAGTTAACAAAGCTTTACGGTAATTACTTAAGCAAATCTCGATGATGAGAAATGCTAACATTTTTTTTTCATTGTATAAATGTTCAGAATAAAAAAAAAGATAATTATGAAACATCGTCATTAATTAAGATATGTTTGTTTTTCTTTATTAAATAGTAGTATTTCTATAAATTCAAATAGTTTATGATGTAAAGAAAAAACACTTCTTTTCATTCATTACAGAAAGAACGTGAAGAAAAATTGTCAAAATTAGTCAAAGTTATTTTGCCAATACTAGTGACCGATATTAGAAAAAAATGAGACCATAAAACCTAAAATATTTTCAAAAGTACCCGAAAATTCTGATATATCATAAAATCAACGTAATGGAAAAAAAAATCAAGAAGATTTCTACGTTATTATTTTTTTTAATTATTATTTTATTTTTTTTTGTTTTTTTTTTTTTTGTTTTTGTTTTTTGTTCTGTTTTGATTTTTAAATAAAACATTGTCGATTTTAAGCATGAAACATATGAAGACGTAAAACACTAAATAAGTTAGCTCTTTTTCCCGGAAAACATATGAAATACATCTAATAATAATTTCCTTTAAAAGGGAAGGAATTAAAAAAAAAACCCATTCTTTTATTATACCCTCTGGTATCTTATAGATTAAAAAAAAAACAAAAATCCTTTTTTTGTTTGCATTGAATTATTTCTAGCATTTCAAAACATATTTGACTTCGTTAGATTTCCTAAAGAGCATAATGATTGAATAATGAAGGAGAAAATCATCCAAAACATATAATTTTGAAATTTTGCTGTAATGATTCTCATGCAGAATAAAACAAGTTTTGGTACTCTGATACTTTTGGTCGGATGTGTATCATCATCTTTTACAATATCTGATGTGAATACTGAAGTTTTTGAAATATAGATATAAGCCCCAAAAATATATTGTGGATGTTTGTTCTTGTGTAACCGACTGGAATACATAGCACATTTAAACAATGCAGTACTTGTCATTTCTGATCACTATCATACGGGTTCTGTCAATGTACACGGCACCGCAGTATATATCATCTCAGCATTTGATTGGAAGAAATGAGGCGTAAACTGACAATGCTAATGGATTGTATTAATATAATTCTACGACATCTTGTGTGGGGTGTTTCACGTTTAGTGTTTCGAAAACAATAAAAGTTTAACCAAGATAAGCCATAAGAGGCTAAAGGTCAAGTAGATTTGCCAAATTAGGGAGTTTTGTTTTTTTGCATTACTGACAAGTTTACCTCGTAATGACTGTCACTCAGGGCCAGGTTCAGTTCACATGAGAAGGACATTAACACCGATACCCTAAGATTAAAGTGAAGATAATTCTTGTTGCGTATTATTTTCATATTTTTGAATAAAAAACTATTTAAACATTAGACACATGTACTCTTGCATAAACCACAAGAGAGAGAGAGAGAGAGAGAGAGAGAGAGAGAGAGAGAGAGAGAGAGAGAGAGAGAATGTCATAAACCTCATGTTTTCTAACAGATTTTCAAATATTTCCTGAAGCAGAGACTCTATGTCTTGTTCTGAACAATGAATAATAATTAGTGATGGCAAGTAAAAGTGCATTTCGACTTTAGTATGACCAGCTTAATAAAGAGTCAGTATGAAAAAAATCATATGAAGAACACTTGATCAATTCTAACTTAGTTTTTTCATCAGTATCAAACAAAGTATCCTAAATATTCCGTTGCAAGAAATATAGTTCAATTTAAGATTTAAAGATAAAGAATTACATAGGCTTTTTGTCAATTACTGAAAACACGCTAGAAAGAGATATGAATTATATTGTTAAACTCTTTATTCTTATTTTTCAGGTAAAAGTATGGTTTCAGAATAGAAGAACAAAGTTTAAGCGAGTTAAGGCGGAAGAGGATATGACAAAGTCACACTCCAAAAAGTTAGGTCACTCAAAAAAGAATCCATCGACGGAAAAACACAACCAAGACAGTTTTGAATCCTCATCAGAGGAAAGTGATATCGAAGTCTAGATACATATATACATATCACTAGTGTTATGATCAGTATTTCTACTTTATTTTTGTTTCTATTTGTATAATTATTGCTGTGAATATGACCAATCACATGAAATTTGTTAAATGTAAAATATTTCTTTCGTCTTTTTCATGATTGTTGTAACCTTACAAATTAAACCTATCATTCTTTGTATTTCATTTATACTTTTATTTGAATAGATTTTATTTTGATAAGAAGATGTCTTAAAAGTAGGCTACCGATAAAGGTAGTTTTTAATTTTTTTTCTTTCTTTACCTTAAAAAACTTCAATGTAATTTTCTACGTTTAAATGTACGTTAGAAAACCATTTAAAACAAACAAATATGATTTTTTTTTTTAACAGTAAAAATTGTTTTGAATCATGCCTGGTTCTATCAATTCATTTAAAGAGAAAGAATCAGACATACTGTTAAAGTAATAACTTTTGTTTCGAAATTGTGAGGCTATTGATTAGTTTGAAAAAAAGAATATAATTATGAATATCTGTAATCCTGGTGCAATTTAAATACATTTTTTCCAATAGCATCATATCACGAAAGAAGTATTTTAAAAATATGCATTGTCTTTCTCTCAGCTAAAAATATTTAACCCAATGTTAATTTTTTGTTCGAAAGACAATTCTGACCTATGAATAAATCATCTAAAAGAGAATATCAGAAACCATTTCTTGCTTTTGAATTCTTTAATGATGCCAACCTTGTCTAGTAATATGGAATTTGAATTCATGGGTTTTACTATTCATGCCAGGGATGTTTTATTCTTAGAGTAACATAAGAAGTTGTCTTGACACTATACTGGGTGATAAGAGAGGTGAAAATAATCTGACAAAAGGTTGCATGTCGATAGAAAAGTAATCTCAAACTGGTAATTTTCCTCCTTTAATTTAAATTGCTCTGTAATTTTTCCCAAAGGGCCGTTATCATGCACGTTAATATAATTACTTGCATGTCGAGGGGAAAATTTTAGCCAACATATTTAGAAACGAAAACATTTTAAAATAAATACTAAACCATATCTCCAAGGATCTCTACACAGCGTGAGAAATCAAATGATTCACATGGATATTTCAATACTTAAACAATGCACCACCAATAAATGCGACATCATAGCCTTTTCTGATAATGTTCAAATTATTCAAATATTCAGTAGCTACGGAGAATGCAAGTAGTCATTAATTACCTTGCCTCATTACACGCGAGTAGCTTCGAAATCCGTCTGTCAATAACCTCATACAAATGTTTCATTATATGGCCTAATAAGGCATAATTCGATGACAAATTAAATCATATTACGCTCCAATTTAATTGATATAAATATCGAAGTCGATCAGTTTTCCATCTCATAAATTTATTCTTTATTCCAAAGGCTTAGAGCACGGCAATGACATAAGTACGTATAATTAATCATTAAATTTATCGAGAAAAACAAAACGTGCTTTCTCATTGCTCATGGAAATCGATTCTCTAATGGGAAACGTTGGTATCTTACAATTTGATTATATCAGTTCCATTCATTATCAGATCAAACATAAAGAAAATTTCTTTTTTATGGCGATAACTTCCCTATCAACTTTCATGGACTTTTGCTGCTTTGTATGAATTATACCACGCAGATTTAAATCAAGGATTAAATTCAAATGCAGCCTTTTATACCACCAAATAAACACCCAGTCCATTAGCTGATAAAAACCCCGAATTCATATTGTTAGAAATCATTTTATTGAAAAGCAAATGTGCATGAATTGAGTATAAACAGCTAAATATGCAAATACAAGTTAATAAAACAATTTGTCTTTAAAACATTAACTTTGGTGATTTTTTTTAATGCTGCTAATAAAAATACTATTGATATATTAAATATGAGTCAAATATTTATGGATTTAAGAGCATTTTGACCCTGAAAATAGGTAATAAAATCAGTTTTATCTCTTTATATCATATTATTGACTCAAGTTTGTTTAATATTAAAAAAAAAAGATTGAAAGTACAAAACCAATTTTATCAGAAACATTTTTTTTTAAAAATCTTAATATCTTATTTTCCTCTGTCTTATCTAATGTTGACTTTTTCCCACTAGTATATATATTATCCATTCATAAGAAGTTGAATGTCTAACTTTTAAGATACATTAATGAAAAAGTTTGTACAATAAATAAATGATTAACCTACTATTGATCTTTTTTCTCTACCATTTGTACACGTTTGACATGATGATACAATGTTCATCTTCTACCATATATTTCCTTTTTAAAAATAAATTGTAAATTATTTTTAATGGTTTACTTTGCTAATATTTTTTTAATATGTCTTCATCCTATGTTATTTACAATATAAGTCATACGTTACCGTATGTGTTGAATGACATTAATTAGACGTTGCTTACCCTTATCTATCTTCATTTAATACAAAGAGGATATCTATATTAAGTATATGCTGTATTTTAAACAGAAATATTTACCAGATGTCACTAGTTCATGAGGACACTTATTCATAGGGCCTTTACAAAAAGGTTGAAGCTCATAATTAATCAGAAACATCTTTCATTCTCTTGTAAATAAGGTATTGTCTCTAACTGACTAAGGTACATTTTTGCCTTAATAGCAAGAGGACATTCTGATGGGAATATGAGTTATGTCGAATCTCAAGGATCAGGAAAATATATGTTATAAACCAACTTAAATAAAATATTCGAGTTTTCTCTCCTCCTCAGGAAAGGAATTTCATTAAAGATATATACAGAAAAGTTCTAAGGAAAGACGAGAATGCAGTTATCACCCGATTTGGTTAATTAAAGCAAAACAAGATACACTCAGGTGGGACCACATTTGGAACAGATAGTCTATTAAATACCTGTCAAGTACTCTGTAGGAAAACTGAGCCGGTATAGCAGCATCTGATCCCGTTTCATGGCTTTCATGGTCCTACAATGGACAGAAACATTTATGGCAAAGAGATTAGTTCTGAATTAATTTAGCAACAAAAACCTTTCTTTATTTTATGTGGCATTTAAAGCCTTCTCAAAAAAGATGATTATTTATTGAAGAAAATGTCTTTAATTAAAAGAAACGAGAGAATTAATTCGTCAAAAAGAGGGATAATGGGGTTTTAGTGACACGCTTTATATAAATATGTAAAGAATGAGGGAAGCTGCAGGGTCTAGCAAGCAATCATTTTTTATCCACAGGTCTTTATCTGACCTTAAATAGAGGCCAGTGATAGCGCCAAATATGTTATAAATGATGCCTTCAGTCAGGAATTACCACATGCCATAGAATACTTATATATTTTCTTTTGAATTGATTTGAATGCCACTTACAGATGGCTACATGTTCAGATTACATTCAATTAGGAAATTTAGATCGTTATGAATTGAAACATTTACTGGGAGAAGAAATCTAACATAGAGTATTCAGATGTTCTTAAAAACCAACAAACATGAAGGCGTCTTAGACAGAGCAAATAATGAAAAAAGTATATGTTCAAGGAAATGTGAGAAATAATATATTTTAAAAAGAAATGTTTGTTGGAAAATCTATATCTTACGTGAATTGATAAACAATAAATGAAGGACATGTATTCAGACAATAGACGTTATAATCATTAGGCCACTATAGAAATTGACTATTTTGTCATAGAACCAATGTGTTTTTACAATATACCTTTAAAGCAGAAATTGTTTCTGCCCGAAGAAATATCCCAAAATCCCCAACAATATAAAGTTATAAGTTAATGAATGCAAAGAATGTAGAAAAATTAAATTCTTTGTCAAAAGCTCTTTAAAAAATAGTTCCATGCAGTCTGTTCTTTCCATCCTTCCTGAACCCTTTACAAGTAAATGTGCATTTTTTAAAAAATGTTTTTTATGCACTAGTTTAATTTGAAGAGAACACTTTTTGGGAAAATTGTCACAACAACAACAACAATAACAACAACAACAACAACAAAATAATCATCATCATCATCATCATCATCATCATAATTTATGATTAACACTTTTTTAAACATAAAATTTGGCAAATCAATTGAAATGAAAAAAAATGACAAAATGATAATTGAATAGACATCAAATGCTAAACTCTCAATTGCATTCTACACCCTTTGTATGAATTCTGGTGTAACATAAGTAAAAAATATATATATTCTTTGGAGAAATGATGGTAAGACATATGATGAGTCCTATTCAAACTATGAAAATATATCGTTTAAAAAATTGTCAGAAAAGAAAAAAGTAAACAATTCTTTCTATTAACTTTTTTTTTTTATAATAAATACCATTACAATATTTAAAAAAATCCTCTCGTAACTCTGTCTACTGATAAAAAGCAGGCGAATGTGGATTTAATTAGTTTACAATTTGTAAAATTGATCACAGTAAATATAAATATTTTTAAAAAAAATCTAATGATTACATCCTCATATTTTTTTTATGAAGTATCTTATTTTTTATACTCCAAATTACTCTAAAATATGCATGTATAGAAATGTGGTTTGCCAGAGTCAAGATGTACGTAATCAAAATGAAATTTGATCTTTAGTTATTATGGAAGAGTTTTGGTAAATTATGCTCTAATTAAGGAATGAACAATCTGGGAAAAAATAAAAATCATTTGAAAAAGTTCGCATGAAGATAATCATACATCGTATCATGTATTACAAATGTTTCAATGATTTTATTTATGAGGATATTTAATTAGTGGCTATTTCAAATGACACTCACTAGTAAATATTTCTGTCCAGAATATTGAGTAAAATATAGTAAATTGTTAAAATCTAAAAATGGCAGAAACCTCCTAGAGGAAATAAAAGATTTTTTATGATCTTTCAACCACTTTTTAATACACCCATTTTTGTATAAAATCAATATAAAAATTATGTTTAAAACTTATCATTGAAAACTACACTTATGCATGGTTTTCAAAGTTTTTCACTCACCATCAAAATAATTATTTCTCATTCTGTTTTAACAGTTCAAGTTTTAAAACTATCTGCTCAAAAACAATAAATTTAATTGAGTACATGCTTGATTAATTAATATACACATTTTCATAATAACAATC